TTTTTTTTGCCTACCATCCCACGGACAATCTTCCAAGTTAACAAAAAAACCATCTTACAAACTGGGAGGTGTCCTGCAGCTCCAAGTCCCCTCAATTCACAATTTCCTCCCTTCTCGAATTATCGAAGCAGAACATCGTCCTGTCGTTATAGTTGCGTTATGTAACAGACAAACGGATGATCTATCGCTAATGGAGGAATCGTTACCAACTCACGGGTCTCTCAGCTCGTACTACGAACAAGAAAGTTTGGTCCGTCCCGTAAACGCGCAACATCCGAAAAAAGGGGCTGAAGAGAAGAAATCCCATTTTTCAAGAGTTTCAAGACGTACCACCATCCTACCCTTTTTTTCCTTTCGAGTTCAATTCGTGCTGGGTCACAATTTCTTTCTTTTCCGACTACTTCCACTTTCGTTTTTCTGATATTTTCTTGTCGAGGGCAAAGTCCAGGAAATCAATATTCAATGATCAAATCTACTCTTTCTGTTTCACTTTTGGTCCTCTTACCATTCTTCACTCTCTCGGTTTATGCGGAAAATGACTGGAAAACCCCTTGTTTGGACGGTGTCTGTCAATACTCGGTCAGCGGGAGTAGTTCTGGGACAGTCAAAATCGTGCGTTTTTGTTTTGCCTACCTTCACCTTTTCCAACTCGATAAACTCACCTATCACAGTGGGGTTCTCCAGATGCCATTACGGATATAACCACCGCAGCCGGTTGGGAAATGTTAGACTGCTCTCCAGACGAACTATCTCAAGACATCCGACTCGTCTGTCAAGGTGACGAGAGCCCAGAATCCGCATGTGCACATCTCTATCAGAACATCGGGGCCGAAGGAAAGATCGTTCGTCTCCCAGAAAACGTGTGTCTCTCCCACTTTCCACGGATACGAGCTCGCCTAAAAATATAACACCTCTACGCCCTTTGTTAAAAAATCAGTGCGGGAAAACCTCATTCGCTCGAATCGCCAAAGCATGGATCCCAAAAGACCAATCTATCCCAGACACAGTCGCCAAACGTCTCGTCAGAAGAGACGGCGTTCCACCTGTCGTCAAAGCTCTACGTCTCGACACGGACTTCGCTGCTGCCGCCAAGTCGAATCAGTGAGTCGTCATGTCGCAAAAAAATAGCATGTCCTTCTTATCATCCCGACGTCAGAGCCGGACTTGTCTACTTTGCAATTCAAGCAGCCAATTTTGCAGGTGCCAATGTTGAGGGAACGATGGAGACTCCCGTAAACCACCGTCGCTCTCGTCTCACTCGACGTGCGACTCATGAATACATACGTGGTCTTATCGGGGGTAAACGTTCCTTTCATAATTTCATCTTTCATGAACCGTCGTAAACCCTTGATTTTTTTTTTCGCAGGCATCAAGAAGGCGGCTGAAAAGGCTAAAGATACAGCTACGGATACGGCAGGAAAAGTCGCAGATACAGCCGGAAAGGCTACAGAGACAGTCGGAGACACAGCAGGAAAAGCCGCAGAAACAGTCGGAGACACAGCAGGAAAAGCCGCAGAAACAGTAGGGGACACAGCAGGAAAAGCCGCAGAAACAGTAGGAGACACAGCAGGCAAAGTCGCAGACACAGCCGGAGACGTGGCAGGACAGGTCGCCAACAAAACCGGCGAAGTCATCGAAAGAATCAAAGACATCAACATCAACCAAACGATCGGGTTGCATCCTGTCGACTTTGCGAAATCGGCCAACATTTTCAGCGGCACGGCGACTTGCCCGCCTCTTTTTGACGCCAAAGTCAATGTTGACGTCAACAGCGCTGGTTCTGCCAATATTGGGTTTGGTATCGCTGCTATCGGAAGTTTGGTTCCTCCTCAGTTTGACGACTTTATGATTTTTGCGGGTGAGGGCTGCTGCAATCGTGTGTTTTCTCGGATTGTTTATCGCCTTTTCTGAAAAATAGGGCTTGATGCGGATCTGTCTGGTAGCATGACCATGACCACAGACGTACAAGTAAGCCGTTTGTGAGGTGTTTTCCGTCACAAAGTTAAATAGACAAAACTTTTTTTTTCTTCACCAGGGTTCACTCGATTCAGGTCGTATCAAAATATCCCAAGTCGGTATCCCCGGTCTCTCCATCCCTGGGTCAGTAAATTCTCCACAAACCGTCAGAGCATCAACCATTGACTCGAATCTTCAACAGCATCATCACCGTCGGCCCCACTGCCACAATCAATGTTCAAGCCGTAGCCCAACTTGACGTCAACATGAACATGACCGTCGGTTTCAACTACAAAGTCCAGAACGCTCAGCTTTACTTCCCTCCTAAAGACCAGATATCAGGCGGAGACTTTTCGATCAAGGACACCCGTAAGCACCCCTTTACTTCCCCATCAACCAACACTAACAATTCTCCCCCCCCCCCACACGACCCCCCCAGCTCTAAACCTCTTCCAAGGCAAAACCCCCGGTCCCGGCTTCGTCGAAGCCCACTTCATCCCAGGCATCAACTTTGGTATCTCAGCCATAGGAACCGTCGCCGAAACTCAAGTATTCCTCGAACTCGACGCTACCGCAAACTTGACCATGAGCTTCGCACCTCCCAAGAACGAAACACAAGTTACCACCAACACCACCGACACCACCACCCCTGATGGATGCCTCGATATGAAAATTGGAATGAAGGCCAACGCGGGTGCTCGTTCCGGGTTCTTTTCGCTTTTTAATGAGAGGACTCAGGTTCCATTGTTCAATAAAAACTTTCAGCTTTTCAAGGTGAGAATCCTTTTTTTTGTTTTTTTTTTTTTTTTTTTCCTTGGGTGAATCACGTCGATTAATACGTGCTAGAAATGCTTCGGAGACCCAAACGCCAACATCACGGCACCTACCAGAAACGTGACGGACGTGAAAACCGGCCTTCTCCAGTGCCTCAAGAACAAGACTGAGCCTATCCTTTTGAACCAAGGCGCAATTAACCAATCACAGTTCGTTGAACATCCTTTTTTCTCAAGCGATGGTTGTGAATGGTTTTTATTGATGTGTTGCTTTATTTTTTTTTAGGATCCTGGCAGTGTAATTTAGAAGAGTGTTGTATCCTAATCTTTTCATTTATGGGTCGAGAGATAAATTATAGATATCGCGTAACTTAAACTGAACAACTAGCCTGCCGGATTCCTCACCAATTTACATACCTCAAATCTTGGTGTCTAGGGATTAAATGTTCGCGTTAGTACCGGCGCTGAATGAGGCCTTGAGACTGGTCTCAACACCTTGGAAATAGCCTGAGGGTCATCGAAAGAATCAACTCCCTTAAGTGCGCGTAGGGCCTACGTGATATTTATAATACAAAAATACATAGCAATCAAGCAAGCAGTCATAACAAGGGAAGAGAAACAAAAAACAAAGACCCCACGACAATCAGGTATATACCCAGCTTGCTCGTCATATACCGTACTGTTACAGCAAATGACTGAAACGTGCGTTGGGTCCGGGCGCCTGACGAGCGCTTATTCGTATATATATATAGGTAAGCACGATTACCTCCACGAAAAGTTTGACGTCGAACCACCACCACCCATTCTCTGAATTTCTTGAAATCTTTCATAAAGTTTAATGTCGGAAATGCAAGATTGCTCCAGCCATCATGGCTCCCTCTCCTCCTCGTCAGCCCCCTTTCACTCACCCCTCACGACCTAAAACTGACGTTACGAGTCTTCATGATAGGCACATGGAAAAATCAACAATGACGAAGCAAGATATCTGTGATGAGGAAGCCTCAGATGGCCCGTACAAAGGTCGGATGGTTTCACCAAACGATTATTGGGACGAAACTCTCTCGCAAGCGAACGATTCGAACTCTCTACTGTCACTCTTCAGAAAAATACTCGAAAAAGCTTACGTGGAGATCAAAGTACCTCTGCAACCAGAGAGAACCGTAAGTTGTTCGCACAACCGCAAAAGAAATTCCACATCAAATGCTGACGATCCCCAACACCTCGTATCTCTAGGGAACTTGGCAATTCATGTCCGCTCAACTTTTGCGTGCGAAACGTGGAGAACATGTTCCTCACTTGATAGTTGACGAGCTCGAATCATTCTATCACGTTCTTTGCTGGCTCGTACTGAAACACGGGGGTGTGCAGAAACACCAACTTCATGTGCTCTTTGATGAAGAAGCATGGTTGAGGGAGATATTTGATGAGGTGATTCATACGCCGGACGGAGTCATCGGCGGAAAAAGCAAAGTTCGAGCTTTCCATACATCACGAATGCGTAGAGCAAGATTACAAGAGCCAATCCGCCGACTCATCCTTGTCCTCGGCGAAAACTTCCGAGTTCGCTACCTCGATCCTCCCTCTGACGAGATACTAAAAAAGATCGAGGATTTAAGCAGCGGCAAGGTTCCCCTTCAAGACGAAGACATCACATACAATTTCTTCAAAGCAACAGAGTGGCTCATAAGTCGAGCAAAACTCCGGCATACTTGGGTCCTTGATCAGTTTAAGATAGCTGCAGAATCTCCCCGTAGCAAAGACCGTTCAACCCCGCCGACATGAGTCCTTCGCGAGGGTCGTTTGGATGAAATGTAATAGACACTGAGTGATGTATTCAATCTAAAACCCCCTTTAGACACTTTTGTCGCATGTCGAGGCTGTCCAATCCGTACGTATTTAGACAAGTCCGAAGAATAAGTGGTCTTCCCTTATGGAGGGAAAACCTCGGAACATGGTAGACGAACCTTTCTCCCTTTACATCTGCACCCCAAGCCACACTTCCTTACACTGAAAATCCCCTCCATCACAATGTCTCCATTCACTGTCTTGGTTCGTAGCTCTACTATCTCATATCTCTTTTTCGTTGGCATACCTATGTTACAATTGACACGCACTAACCGAGGGACGATTAGTACTTGATATGCATTTTCAATTGTGATAAGATGTGTCTCGAAATCGTAAGTAACGCCCAACGTATGATTTTCCACTGTCTCACTCCATTCGGTGGCTCCGAGTGCTTAAAAAAATAATGATACCAGCGCCGGCCCATTACTCCCTGGCTGGGAGTCGAACCCAGCTTTCGCGCGCAAGGATCGAGCATCATCTAGCATTCAATGACAGGCGCGTGTACTAACCGATATACTACCAGGGATGTTACAATGGAGGGAAAGGCAGTAAATAATACAAGACCACATTTTTTGACAAGCGGCAGTCAAACCGGGGTAATCACCAGTTACCAGTCAAAAAGTGTCGCAAGCTTAAGGCTGTCACGTAGTCTGTTCTTCCTTACTAGACGGTACTACACCTCACCTCTCACTACACCTTTGATTTCCTTCTAATTCTCTACAGCATCGATCTACAAGAGTGTAGTGTATGATCCTTTATCGATATCACTGGAGAAGCTTTCGGAAAGGCCATCGCACAGCTCGCTTATCTTACTACTCCGGCGTAAATAGAATATAGGCATCTAGTACGGGTAGCTCTGGAATGGGGTTTGCGGATTCACCTACGCTGCGCTTGATTTTCAATCTCTTCGTGAATCGGTCAAAGGACACACCTCCGCCCCTTCCATCTATCCCTCTGTTCCCTTGGATCATAACGAAGGAAATGGTGATTTTGACGAATCACTTACGACCCACACTCTTGCTTTTTGTTCTTCATTTTCCTTTTTTGCTGTTCGCTCTCTTCGAATCAACCCCTTTCCATGAATCCTTGATGAGATGCCCGCCAAGTCCGAGTCACTCGTTTTCTGGTCCTTATCAACCGATCCAGACATACCCGTTATGGAGTGTTCAAGGCATCTTCATACTATCATCCAAGTAATTGCAACTTGATGATTCCAACCAAACGCAAAGTCCAAAAGTCCGCCTTACCCTTTCCTGTTGCACATGAAATCCGACAGCATGGATTTGCCGACGGAAGTTTCAACAGCTGTTCTCGAAGCGAACGAAGACCCAACTATGTTCTAGTCTCCGACCGTTAGGCGACTATAGTAATGATCTCCGAAATTAAGAACTTTGATGACTTGAACGCCTTTCCACGCCCCCAATCTTCGCCCTCCCTGTCGAACTCCTCAACGTCAACATCCACCCTGAGAAGCTCCTTCACACCAGAATTACATATTAGGTCTTTGCAGCCAAATTGACTTGACTTATTGACCATTTTCTGACTTCAGAAGGGATGGCCAGGTTTGGGTCATTCGGCCCAGATACTTCTGCGGGTTTTCAGAAGGTGCTTTGCCAGGTTATGTGCCTCAGAGGCTTACTCTCCTTCGTTTCAGGCGTTCTCTGGATCTTTGATGACTGCAATTATTGAGCTTTCTGAGGTGCATATTGCCATGCAGAAGGTGCTAAAGGCCCCAACATTGTTTGGGAGTGGGTATATAAGGTGTGCCTCAAGTTTCTCTCACATAACCTTCTCTTATTCTTCCAGTTTAGTTCATCTTCTTCTTACCACAGCAAGCCTTGATCCATGAACAATGACAGCATTCCACCCTACCCCTGCCCACACTCACACTAAATGAAATTTAGAGAAAACCTATTGGTAATCAAAGTCAGGATGACAGACAAATTCTTGGTGGTGACAAGAAGGCAGCATGCAAGTGTCGTAGGCGTAAAGGCCGAGGTTGAATTTTGATTTTTGAAGACCCGGAGTCCCGCTGGCGCACCTCGGACCGAGGTCACGAGGACAGGCCACTCGGTCGTTGTCCCTTCGAACGTTCTCCCTATCCCATCGACATCCAGCTGCAGGTAGCAGCTGTCAATCGTAAGGGCCGAAACTTCGACATAACTAAGGAGTAGCCCCCGGATAATGCACGAAGACAACCACACAGCAACGAGCCGTTTAAGTTGCGAAAATCAACGGTGCGCTCTACGCAATACACTGAATTCAGTCAATGATAATTCATTTCAGATCGGTTAGTCACTTCTGCCAACGGATCCCTCCCGAAATCAACCCTTGGAGCGAGGAAGCCGTCGTCCCCGTTATTTTGCAATCCGGAGTAAGAAATAGTGGTAGATGGGGGTGGAGATGAGGAGTCTAGTGGGGCAGGGATCTATTGTTCAGTACAGAACAAAGTTGGTTCCGGTACAATGGTCTTTATCAGTCTGTCGTTACATTCTCATTGTCCCATTTTCTGATATCTTCATTGTTCAATATTTATATGTAAGTGGCATAATAACTTCCCTACACAACGTTCCCATCCTGCCTGGTCCACTCCCATGGAGGATATGAGGATGTGCTTCCGCTGCCTTACCTCAAGCCTCTCGGTCAAGCCTACCCTTGGGGCTCCATATGGATCGTCCATGTCGTCCGGGGCTCTCAAAGGCCTTCCATCGGTTGTCCTTGTCGCCGATGGTCGCAACATCATTCTCTCATCCACCTCTCACTACCGTTTTATTATGCCGCCTCATTTGACACTGGCTTGAGATTATCTATGACGCTGACATACAGATTTATGCATAAACACAATGTATTGCAAAAATTTCCACAAGGTAATGAAGATGTGCTTGAGGAAGACATGCTTGAGGAAGACAGATATACCTTTCAAACCCGGCTGGCTCTACGGCGAGATTAGGTATGGAACTTCGTATATCATCGACATCTTCCTTGCCACTATCCTCGCTACTGTCATCACGGGATGAACCTGGCCCGAGCTTCTGAAGGCCGAGATCCTCGCATTTGTTGCTGCAAATGTGTTGATTGATAAATTGTTGTATCCCATCGGTTCCATAGTCCCCAAGTCCACTATCACTACACACAACTTAGCTCGGAAGACAGACCAGATTCATGAAAAGAAAACTTACCCTCGCATGGTATGCATCATTACGTCGAACAAGATATGCTTGCCTCCAGAACTTGTGGCTGTCAAAGAGGCTGAAGTGCCGGAGAACATATTGGTCAGGTCAGTTTAGGGATTCAAAAGAGAACTTACTCTGAAGGTCAGCGAAGACGATTGTCTTTTGCGACCACTCATAAGCAAAATGAACAAAGGTGGTTAGAGTCACACCAAGCTTTCCCTGGTGACTGGGGTGCTGCAAAGTTCTGGACCATTTTTTTGGAGTGCCTGTTTGCATGGGCTCAAGCAGCCAAACAACTAATAATTTGGCATCAGCAGGCTGTTGTGAACAGAAAGCTGTCCATTCATTGTCTGAGATACCTGAGGCAGGCGAAGGTTTGGCCTGAGGTGAAACAACTTCAGTAGCAATCTTGAAATTGATCACCTCCAGGTCTGTGTCACCGCCATGTTAGCTTGGAAGAACCAATACAGAACATAACCGGAACTACTAACTGTCATCCACATTTGTTTTCCTCTTCGTGCATTTCTGAAACTGGGTCAAAAGTGCATTGAGCTGGTAAAGCTGAATGCCTTCTGCCTCAAGCTCCTGGCGATTTTTGGCAATCGAAACCTTTGCTTCACCTTCACAGATACAGTCAATTCACTTGGCAGCATAAATGACATTCCCAATTGTAAGCTAAACCATAAAAAAACATGGTAGTCAGATACATAGTCTGGTCCACTAGGGTAGTATACCCGACCTTATAGACAAGTTTTGTTGCTCCATTGTCGAACTCCTCATCGGCTAGGAAGCCTGTAACGATGTCTGCATCTAGATTTGGCCATGTAATTTGTTCTCCGAGCTTGTCCTTTGTGAATTGTGCAAAGATGAGTGATACTTGAGTGGCTCCAGCCGGAGGTTGTGCAACCCAGTTTGAAATGAGCTGTGATGGTTTAGCTGGTAAGTCAAACTTAGCGGGAGAATCAGACGGAACAGAGCAGTTTGCACTTACACTTGAGTTTTTTGGAGACAAGAATATTCATATCATCCTCCTCAATACCTTTTTTTCTCTTCTTGATTTCCTGTTTGGTTTTGGCCCATTTGGGAGCACTGACACCAGTAAGTAATTCGAACTGAATGAAACCTCAAACTTGAGTCATAAAAATTGTAGGGAGGTGTACATACTTTGGCTATGTCAATTCAAGCTTCCAAATAGATAAACGGTCCTTTCATGAGCTTTACAGAGTTGGGAGCCCACTTGTTAAGGTCAGGTGGAAGAATTGATTTGTGTTCAGAGTAGAGTTCTCCAACTGTACCAAGCAATCCATTCGGGAACAATTGGATGTTTCCAAAAAACTGGAAAGTTATACACTCGCTGTAAATACAACACTGATATTATTTTGAGATAAACGGAAGAAGGACAGGTGTACTTACATTGTAAGGCCTTTGGAGGTATCAAGCTCCCAAATTGCATTCCAGATTCGTAAAAGCACCTCAATTGCATCTAGATAGTAATTAGTGAAAATAAGATAATCAGAACTGCAGGCATTACCTGAAACAAGGACATCCTCATTGAAAGGTGACACTGCCAATGCCAACTTTGACTCAACCTGGGTTTTTGGGCACACAGGACTGAGCATGACACGGTATGCTCGAGTGCCTGTGGAGGCTGTAGGTGCCTGGACAGCTGGTGAAGGTGATGGACCTTCAGGAAGTGTTCAATGAATCATCGCTTGACTTTGGGCTACTTGCTTTGCCTGTTGAATCAAAGCAGCACTCGGGAGTGTAGCTTTTCCACAGACAAATAAGTAACCAGTTCAAATTAGTGAGAGAAAAAAATTGCCAAGATTGCACCATTATTCTGACCCCCTCGCAGCTTGTTGACTTTGGTGAGACAATGGCCACAGTATCGTTCCTCTTTTCTAAGCCATAAGGATATTGCGCCACAACCCTCGCATACAGGTGCATTCTAGAGCAAAAGAACTTAAGTTGAAGTCAAAAACTCGGGGAGAGATAATGTTGAACTCCTTACCATCATCCTTTCCAGTTTGGCGGGGGAATCTTTGATGTCACCAAGCACATTGCAACGGGCACAGAGTCCTGGCTCTTTCTTGAATGGAAATGTCTTTGAGCAAGAGTACATAGGTTTCTCTGCATGGTAGCAAATCTATATATTAGGTTCAGCTGGTGGCAGACTGGGAGTTGTCATGACTTGAGCAGTGTCAAGACGGGAGTTCAAGTGCAGTTGGTTTCTGGACAGGGAATATTTATTTATATACATTGATAGGTATGCGGTTGCCAAGTGCACAGAGCCAAATATGTGAGAGCAATACTCAACACCCAAGGGTGATTACACATGCTATAGCCGACAGTG